AATAAGCCCACTAAAAGCCTATTTTAGTGTAACGGACACCTATTAGAAAGACAATATATTACATTGGGCAGTCAAACAAATAAGTTTTCTGGAAGTAAGATGGATTTAAAAGTATCTACATCAGGTCTAGTGTTCGAATTTCATTTTACGCAGTTTTTATACTAAGAGTGTCTTAATTTCCGAAAAAGATAAATGGCGAATTATGCATATAGAAAAAAACTTACAAACTTCAGTATAGTGCAAAAAATACCGTCAAGAAGGAATTTCATAGGACGGCTCAGGATAATGCAGTTAGACGTGGTTCTGCATAATACATGTAGAATTATCGACTGTAATATCGTCTATATAATATTTTTCATAGTTTGTAATATATAATTAACTAGTGTTAAAAAACAAAAAATAAGTTTTCAATAACAACCTGGGCCTTTAGAAAAATTAGGCTTAAATGCTTTTATGGGCCAATAAAACATAAGCCCATTACTTTCAGAAGTATAAAAAATGTATAATACGACCGCTCGTTCTAGATCGTGAAAAAGCCTTGTCGGGTGGTGGTGGCAATGGCTGGCGTGATGAACAGATTGAAGAACTTAGATGCTTACCCTAAGATCAACGATGACTTTTACAGCCGTACACTCTCCGGTGGCTTGATCACATTAGCTTCTTCCATCTTCATGCTCATCCTCTTCTTCTCTGAGCTCCGTAACCACCAATTCTTCTCTCCTTAAATCTCGTAAAGCTAGTTTTGTGAGAGTACCCATTAATAAAGTTTGAATCTTTACTTTATTTTCTTTTGTTAGGAATTTATCTTCATCCTGTTACTGAGTCTCAGCTTCGTGTTGACACATCAAGAGGAGAGAAGCTACGCATCAATGTTGATAACTTTTTGTTTGGTTCTCTGTTTCTTTAGATTGAAAGTTTCTATCTTTAGATGACTTGGTGAGGTGACTTTCTATTTTTGTTGTTTTTGGCAGTTTGATGTGACTTTCCCTGCTCTTGCTTGCTCGATTATAAGTCTTGATTCTATGGATATTAGTGGAGAGCAACATATAGATGTGGTATGTGTTTTACCTTTTTAGTCTTGGCTCTGTTACAAAAAAGTGTGATGTGTTGTTGTTGGTCATTTGAATTGTAGAGGCATGATATAGCTAAGAGAAGGTTAGATTCTTATGGTAATGTTATTGAGACAAAGAAAGATGGGATCGGTCATACAAAGGTTAGAGGTTTTTCATTTCATTAAAAGTATGTAAGGATTGAAAAGATTGTGTTTTTTTTTTCTAAATTCTGTGATGTTTTTTTTTGTTTTCTTTAGATTGAAAATCCATTACAAAAACATGGTGGCAGGCTAGAGCATAATGAAACTTATTGTGGTTCCTGTTATGGAGCTGAAGCAGTAAGTTTCCTACAAAGCTGTTTAGTATTTGTTCCTATACACATCATTTTGATTTCATGATATTTTGCAGTCAGATGATGAATGTTGTAACTCATGTGAGGAAGTTCGTGAAGCTTATCAGAAGAAAGGTTGGGCCATGTCAGACCCTGATATCATTGACCAGGTATACTTGCTTTGCTTATGTATAAGGTTGCTTGTATGTATAGTGAGTCTAGTCTAATCTAGTTGAAATGATATGTACGTGTTTGTGTCAGTGTAAAAGAGAAGGTTTTGTGCAAAGGGTTAAGGAGGAGGAAGGTGAAGGTTGCAACATTTTTGGTTTCTTGGAAGTTAATAAAGTGGCTGGGAGTTTCCATTTCATTCCTGGGAAAACTTTCCGTCAATCAGGCTTTCATTTACAAGATCTGTTAGTCTTCCAAGGAGACACTTACAATGTAAGTGAAGAACCATTTTTTTGTTTATAACTTTTGTATTATGACGTGTGTCTGACCCATTGTTGCATTAGATAAGCCACAAGGTTACCAGTTTGACCTTCGGTGATCATTTCCCTGGTGTAGTGAATCCCTTAGATGGGTAAAACCTCTCTTCTTGTCCTAGTATGGTTACTCAGTTTTCAAAACTCATCTCATCTTTCTGAAGTCTATTCTTGGTTTCTCAGTGCGCAGTGGACTCAAGAGACACTAAATGGCATGTATCAATATTTTATCAAGGTTTGCTTCTACACAGCCATCTCCACATTTTGTTATTTGGGACAATACTATGGTATCTTCTCTATGTTACTAAGACCTATAAGTAGTGGGAAGAGAGTTATGAGGATGTTGCTTTGATTATAGATTTTATTGATGTTTCTGGTTCTTTAACTGTTGGTTGCAGGTTGTACCGACTGAATACACAAATGTTAAAAGCCATGTTATTCAATCAAACCAGGTGAGGGAACTACCTCTCACATCAGAGCCTCTGACTTGGCTGTAGTATTATCTAAGAAATGGGTTTCTTGGTTGGGTACTTTGTAGTTTTCTGTGACTGAGCATTTCGAGAAAACAGAAGCAGGACGCACACAGTCACTGCCTGGTGTTTTCTTTTTCTATGATCTTTCTCCAATTAAGGTATCTCGGAATCAGACACTGGTTTGTGTGAATACTTGTATGTGTTACTAGTTTTATACTCATTTCTAACATGTTTCATTTGAGTGTTGTTGCAGGTGATTTTCACAGAGCAGCATGTGGAGTTCTTGCACTTCCTCACCAATGTTTGTGCTATAGTAGGAGGTGTGACTGATCTATCTCTTCTGCAATCAATGTAATTTCTTTATAGATGTAAGAATCATCAAATCTTAAACTATGTTGGTTTATTGTGTAGGCGTTTTCACAGTTTCTGGAATCATTGATTCATTTGTATATCATGGACAACGGGCGATAAAGAAAAAGATGGAGATTGGTAAATTCGGCTGAGTTAAATACAAAACCATTGTATCAGGAACAAGAGGAGCAGCTCAAGAAGCTCAAGTTTAAAAGTGTTGTAAGATAGAGTTATAGAAATTAGTACTCTTTTTTTAATTCAAACTCAATATTACCATTTTAAATTGTTCATAGTTGGCTCTGTTTATCTGCTTTAATGTGGGGGAGTGACTCTTTGTATCAGATTCAAGATTTAGTTGTCAACAAAATACTTAAATTACTTTTTCTAATAGCATCTCCAATTTTTATTTATAATTTCAAATATATAATCTTTTGTTCTCCAAAAAAAAATTCATATTTGCAATTTCAGTATTCAAAAATTCAAAATTTAAAATTTCATCTTTTTAATTGTATTTAGTATTTACAATTACAAATAAAATTTATAATTCATAAATATTTTTCCGTTTATCTTTTTAATTATTAAAAAAATTAGATGTCAAAAATATTTCAAATTGAGTTTCAGTTTTTTTTATTAATTTAAGTTTTAGAACATTTCCGAAAAAAAAATCTCTAATTTAAATGTTCTTCTCTAAAAACAAAATTTCAAACTTCATAGTTTTTACATGCCGTAACTTCAAACATCTTGGACTAATTAAGGATGGATAACCAGAATGGATACAACTACTAAGATTCAACACCACAAGTCAAGGGATAATAATAGTGTTAGAGAATTCAATGCAATATTATAAAAGTTCAACTACTTTTACACAAAACATGGTTGAGAAAAATGCATGTGAAAGAGAAGAGAAATAGAGTGTGAACATAATCTTTTAGTGGGCTCCTTTGGTGCTCTGTGTTTTTCAAACTTTCCATCTTTATGCTTTCCTTTGCGTAATTTGAAATTATCCTCTTAGTATAATATTTCTACTTGTAATATACTTAATGCAAGAAAATGTATAGATTCCTCTGTAGATTATTTGAACTACAGAGAATAAACTTTTAGAAAAAAAATACATGAACAAACGTTCAAATTTGGTTGACGTGCCATCGCATAAACGATATGAGCTTATGTTCTTGTTCATAATGATAGCTTGTGTAACCTCCTTGATTTACCACCAAAAAAAAAAAAAATTTGCATAGCTGAGTAAATTTAGAAAATCAAATTCATTTAGGAAGAACTATTATATTATTCGATTTTAGATTTCTTTTTTGGATTTTAGATCTGTATGAAAACTAAGAATTAAACATAGTTCTGAATACTTGATAGTACCAACATACAGTATTAGTCCAAAACTCTCGTGCTCTGTCAGTATTGCTTGCGCCCATTGTCTTTTTTTTTTTTTGTGTTTTACTTTTATTTCTTCGAGTCACCCACCCACTGGCGTATTGACGAAAATTCATAGTATCTAACTTTTATAAAAATGTGTGTTGAAAGATTCGATCATTTATCTGCCGACTTTGTCTTTTTCTACTTCACTACAGTTTGAATTATTGGTTTTATGACTGTATTAACAAGTGAATAAAATGAGAGAAGATGCTGCACGGAAGTTGCGGCATGGCCGGTCAATATCTACCAACACGCGAAGCTTTCACCACTTGTGAAATGTAACGGACAAGAATCAAATCATACATAGTTGACATTGATTTCTTCTAACAAAGTTCATTTCCAACTAGACAAACTCCAAAAAAAAATGAAACGTGGAAGGTGATGAATTATACGTTATGTGGATTGTTGTAGATTCCATTCCGCATATAAACAATTGTCAAACATGCAAGAATACGTTATTACCATCCATTATCAAACCATTTTGTCACCTATTTTTTTATGACTAAATGCAGACTACATACTACTTTGTTGCGATAATTCTTAAAAGTGTTTCGCTACTTGCTGTTATACCACTTCTGGCAAACATTAGTGGATCGTCTATATTGAGAATGTAAAATATGCATGGGAATTTACGTATCAGTTCGACTAATATGATTTGTTTGTAGGTAAGAGCAAAAAACCACATACATTTAAATCATAATGACGTTAACTTTTGAGCGAAAGACTTGTTCATTTTCAACAGCTAAAACAGAAATATTTGGTGACCTGGTTGACATTTTGAATCATATAAGCAACAAACCCCATCTTAAAAAGGAAAAATTTTAATCTCATGTTTACAGTCATTTACTCAAACATCGCACGGTTTGTCTAATATATTACGGCCTTTGTAAGCATGTTCTTAAGGATCATAATTCATAGGGAAGATTGGAATTTACTAGAAAACTAAACTAAAAACATCACATTATGATAAAGAAAACGAAGCTAGAAATTACATAGACCAAAAAGGAAAAATTACATAAAATGAAATCTGTGGCATGGTCGAAGCATGACAAAAAACCGCAGCTCGACCGACACAGAGACTAATACAAACATAATATTAACACATACGAGATTTAACCCCACTAATCATAAAGATAATTACCCTATCAAGCCTCTCCATGTAATTTCCAAAAACTCCATTACAGGCGGCTTCTAAAATCCCTAATTTACCCCTACTATTACCAAACCAAACTACACGAACTGATCACGACAGGATCGAAGCCCAATCTATCTCGTACGACGGGTACTTTTCCAACGAAAACGTCTCGTTCCACTGCGGCGGCTCCTCCGTGTCGGCGAACGTCAAGTCCGACAACGGCGAAGAACCGGCGGACTCAACGAACTCCGTCACCGGTGGAGACTTATCCTCCGCCTTGACTTTCTCCGGCGATGAAACCGTCTTCGAGGAGGCACGTTTCTTCGACGCTTTCGTCGCGGTTTTGCCCTGCTTCTCCGCCTCCGCCATGCTCTGACAAATAGCTTCGAGCTTAGCGTCTACGGTGGAGTGAAGCGGTTTGTATTCACCGAACTCTCCTCCGATGTGGGAACCGTTGTGACGTAAGTTAGGGAAGTTAAGCCGGGCGAAGTCGCCGCGCAGCTTATACGCCGCCTTGTCGTAAGCCAAGGCAGCTTCCTCCGCCGTGTCGAACGTTCCAAGCCAGAGACGAGTACGGTTCCTCGGCAAACGGATCTCCGCCACCCATTTTCCCCAGTGACGTTGCCTCACGCCTCTGTACAGCTTCGTCGGCTTCGGAGGAGCACCGTAGGCGAAACAAGATCCCGTGGCTCCGGACTGTTTCATCAGTAAAGGCTTAGGGCTGAGAAGACTTGAGAAGGTGTTGTTGTGGTTCTGGTGGATTTGGGAGGTAGAGAGGTGGTTTAGTCCGGTTAATGACCCGGTTTGAAGAAGATCCGAACCGTAAGTGAACGGTTGGGTCATGAACGTTGAATAGTCTTGCGGGTAATAGCCGGGGAACGTAGGTGGTAGAGAAGGAGAAAACGCAGACGCTGCGGGTTGAATAAACGCAGACGCGGGAGAGGAGTTGGAAACGCTATTTATAAAAGGTACAAGCGCTTCCATGAGTTCACCACCACCAAACGAATCTGGCTGTTGAAACGTTTTGCTACTGTACATATTCATAGCAGCTTCCATTATGATTTGTAGATTTTAATTTTTTTAAAAAGAGAAATAAAATTTTGAATCCGAAAATTTACACCTGGTTCTTTGTCAAAAGTAAAGAACAGGGTTTTCCGAAAAGATTCAAGAAAATAAAATGGATCGTAAAAGGTTTGAAATAAGCAACCTTGTTTAGATCCAAGAGGAGGGAACAAAAAATAACCCTCGACTAAATCTACGAAAAATAAAACGAAAAATTCAGAAGAAAAATATTTCAATTAAATGTGCAGGTAGAAAAACACAGTTTCATAAGCTTGAATTTTCGTATGAATAATCAATTAAAACCATTCAAACATAAATAAACACAGAAACCGATTTTTTTTTTTTGAAAGAAAGCAAGATCAAACGAGAAAAAACAATGGCAATTTTTAGCTAACAACTTTTTTTTTTGCGGGGGAGGACACTCAGTTTTTGTAGTGAATTTACTCTCAGCCTCACCGATGGATGCTCTAACCTCAGCAGCTTGGCTCTCGTTATATAGTGGATGTTGCTTCCTCCCACTATTTCTCATTTTTTATTCGTATTATCTTCGTTCTATGCATTTTATTATTTCGATATTTCCCATTTTCCAGAAAATAATATTCTGGAGAAATATATTACTAAAATAAAACTTTATAACCCACCGAAAACTTCTCGTTAAAGTTACCGCATATCCTCGTGGACAGAATAATTAGCAACAAAAAAAAGGGAATAATTACTAAAGAATTCGCAAGGTGAATAAAAAATAATTACTATTCAAAGATGAATAAACTTCTGTATAATTCTTTACAAAATATTCTTACGTTTAGCCATATTGTGAAAAAAAAAACATTATACCAAAAATCATTGATTTGACATTGTAGTCTATTCAGGAATAGAAACTTTTGCAATTTGCATAATGAATTATTATTTTAACGCCGTAAACTTTACGGTGGTGTACATTAAAATTCGTTGATTATTTTTAAAAGTGCTATTTGGTGAAAAATAAAACCTTAAACAGATGCTATGATTTATCAAAAATTCCAACGTGATCTTGGATTCTATTACCAGTCTAATAAATATCTCTTTATTTTCACAAGCATATTAAACTATAAATTTTTTTTAATCAAATTAAACTATAAACTTTATAATAGTTTCTAATATCTATTTTTTGATTGAATTCGGAACGAATACAGGTAAATTTGTTTTACGTAGCAATTTACCTGCAGAGAAATGACATGCAGCCGACGGATGGATGACGCGTGTAGTATAACTAGTGTTCGAGTACACGTGTTTTACTAGCATTTGCTCGCACTTCCTTGTTCGCAGCTTAAATGCCGGCTTTGACCTATTGGTAAGACTGATATTAATCGGTTTAAACTTATAAACTTTCTGTTAAACATCTAAGTATTAGGGTTGGAGATTTTATCCGGTAAATTTTATTTCGATTCTTTTCGATTCGATCTGGATATCCGTAAACTTTCGAATCAAAACAAATACTAAAAATCAATATCCGTTAAAATCCAAACAAATCACAAATATTAAAATTTTGGGAAATGGATATCCGATCCGATCCGAAAATATATAAATATATGTATATATTGATTATATTTAAAATTTTAAATGTATAAAATTATATAATTATTTTTCTAACACATGATTTTGAACAATTCTATTCACACTATTATTTATATAACACACATTTAATAGTTAACAATAACCAAGCTATACGAAAATTATGACTATATTGATGATGATATACTTTAGTATATGCATTCGAAAAGGCGAAATCATTATAAAAAAAATTAAAATAGCAGAAACATGCATTTGATCCGAATACTTATCAAATATATTTTGATTATCTTGGAGGTTCAGGATCCGACTAACCGTTAAAAATGTTAGTATTATTTTAGTACTACTTATAATATTTAAAAGGTTTATATAATTTGTTTTAACTTGTGTTAAAATTGTTTAATGTATTTTTTTATTTTATGTGAGATTTATTTTAATGTATTTTCAATTTTATTTTAATGTTATGTAGTTTTTATCTTATTTTTATTTTATTTTGGTGTACCTAAATTACTCTAAATTAAGTTTTGTACATATATTTGTGGAAAATAGTTATAAGGACAAAAATAGTTTTAAAGATTGTAAAATTTGGTTTGAATGACAAAAATCTCATTTTTTTAGTATTTGAAGCTGGATTAAATATGCTCTAATACTGAATAAATCTTATACTATCTTTTTTGTTAGCATGATTGATTAGTAACTTTGTAATCTTAATTTGTTTCATACCACAGTAGATCGATCAGGCATTATCTTCTCTTCAACAGTGTACAGATTTTTTGTGAATGGACAATTAGTGGTGCTTTGACATAAATAATTATTTAGTAATAATGATAAGAAAAGATAAGAATAAGCTGGTAAGCGACGGCACATGAGCTGCTTTCAAAACAGTTGTGATATTCTTATTAATTGGTCACCTACTTACTCCTCATATTTTCTTATCAGTGGAGGTAAAGAGAGACGTACAATTGTTTAAGAACGAAATTTAATCTTGGTTCGGAGTCACCTATAGAAATTAAGCAATCTATATAGACTTCGAACAGTAATTTCATAGATACATAATGCCAACACAGTAAACTATATAATCTAGAATGTGACTTTCCATGTTTGATTCGCATGTATTGTATCATTAACATGTAATCACCACAACTTGTCTACGGAATTAGTCTAACGAATGTGGTTTAGAATTCAAATATAGATGCAGTATTATAAATGATACATGGAATTAAGAAAAATATCTTAAGACGCCGATAGTGATATTTACGTCACTACTAAATTTTAAAAGTTTTTAGTTTAGTCGCATGTACTAATCATGATAATTATAATGGGTGGTTTAGACTTTAATTGACAAAAAAATGTTTCAAAAATATTAAGAATTCTCTAGAGCGTGAGAGATGGATTGGCAGAGAACTACCCCATTATCATCACCATATTATATCACCAATTTTTTATTACGCTCCTCCATTTTTTAGCAAAAGTCTGAGCCTTTCACTATCTTATCTTGCTGTATTTTATTTGTAACCGCATTTTCCGAACAACTCGAGTTTATCGCTATTATCCACGCTCTAACATTGATACAACTCTTAACCACACAAAAAAGTCTAGGATGAACTCATGCAGTGTCCGTGGTTAACTTTCTGAATCTAATTATGTATAATGCGATTACCTGGACGGATGTGATTATTGTATTTTGACAAAAACACAACATCGCGACAAGGCAATAAATAATACAACCGTATGTTCTTTACAAAAAAAAAAAATACAACCGTATGTGAGCTGGTTATACATTTAACACTTTTATATTGGTCAAGAAACATCTTGATAAAATGCATGCACAATATATGCGATATGTTGCGTTTAGCCTAGTAATTTGTATTACGTCATTATCAAGTACATGCTTATAAAATACGCAAACTTTAGAAAATAACTCCTACTAGATCTCAACCCGCGCAACCGCGCGAGTATTTGTTTTCATTTATTTTTATATAAACATTTTGTTTTTACTTCTAAATTGGTATATATTATATAAGGTGTGTATATCGAAAATAATGATTAATTATTATATAATATAGATTAGTTATTGTTAGAAAATAATATTTTTGTCATTTTTAAAAATAAACTATATAATTTTTAAAGTTAACATCGCAAAAAATATATAACTAATTAACTTATACTATTATAATATTAAATTATATAAGTTTAATTTAAACATGTATTTTATTATACTATTTATAAATTCAATGGATTATCTAATTTTTATTAGCCCAATAAAAATTTATAGTAAACACAATAAATGTTATTAGTGAATCTAATGAATGTTCTTAATGATTAAATATATAATGTGACAAACTCTAATAGATAGTCCATTTTATAAAAAATCACACATTTTTTCTTTTAATATAATAGATTTGGTAAGCGCATTGAAATGCTCAAGAAAATTAACCACCACTTGTGTTAAAAAATTGAAAAACTAGCTAGTGGCCTCAAAAATATATAAAGTTATGTTTGTGTGTACTATTAAAAAGTCAGCACTCAGCAGAGGAGCATGGAAGACGCGAGGCGAAGTATGGGACGCATGTGGGAAGCACGTGGTCTTTGAACATGTGAGCGGTTTGCGGCGAAAGAAGCTTGGTGATTCACGGTGGACTGAAATAGCGGCGGATCTGCGCGCCAAATAAAAGTATACAAGTTAAATAATAGTGATCATAGATGCTAAGCAATCCTCGTAATAAAATGAAAGCAAGATTTTTGACAAAAAATAAAATGAAAGCAAGATTTAAGGCTGCTAAAGAAAATAGTTTAATCTGCTAATGGCATCACATGTATGTCATAAAAGTCAACTGCATAATGCACCCTCTAATCTAGCTTCTTTTTTTACGTTGACAGCTTCTCTTCGTGACGCATATTTTCATCCAATTACATACATCTTTGTTAGTATATGGACTTCTCATAATCCTTAAAAAATCATGTACATTCTTTCTGTTTTTCAAAAAGTAAGTAGTGTTACTTTGATATCTTACGCAGATTAAAAAATGATTAAAATCTGTATATATTTTTAGAATACCTTTAATTTACAATATTTGAGATAAATAAATTATTTATAATATTAAATGCATTCTGCAATTAATATTAATTTTAAAATAAATATAAATATATTTTCTCTAGCAAGAAAATATATCAAGATAAGACTCTTTATAAAAATATATCAAAATTATACGTTTTCTTTTAGTCGTACTTTTTCTTTTCTTTTAGTCATACTTATCTTTATGATTTTTTTTTTTTTTGCTAAAATTTGGTATTCATCTTTATAGTTGGCTTTAAATTTTGGGAACTATAAATAATCTAGTAAAATTTTGTTATGTTTTTTACATATTTGAAGATCTTTTTTAAAAAATTGTTACGTTCGTTTACCATGTTTCTTTGCTACATATACCATAACCATATAAGATACCACCCATGCATATCTTATCTGGTATATATGCGTATATATCATGAAACATGACCCTTTGCGCGAGTAATGAAAACAAGTTATTTGAAATATTGGAGAACAATATATCATTTTGTATTTACGTTAACATTAAAGCCAATACAAAAAGATTCATTGTAACATGACATATCATATTCATCCATACACATGATCAACATAAGAAATATTAGTGGTGCTCTGACAATGAAAATGAATTCAACAGATCTAAACACATAACCATATCGTGATGGTTATTAATTCCTCTGTTAGTCCAGGCTAATGATTGATTCCTCAGCGTGGATCTCATCTCTAATTCTCACGTAGAATAATAATCAGGTTTAGTCTAATTGAATTTCGGTTCACTGGATATCTTGATTAACAAAAAAAAAAAAAAACTAAAGACGTAATAATACCTGAAAAAAGATCCTTCGTAATACACGCGACAGCTTTCATCGACCTCGAAATTACAAACATAATTTAAGAAGAAGAAAAAATAGGATAAAGGGAAAAGGAGTAGAATCCAATAACATCAGTGGCATGGATTGCGCGTGGCCCATCGTTACTTTGAAAAGTATTTTTTTTTTCCAATTTCAACAAAGTTCCCTTCTTCACGCGGTTTCCATCACACACTCCCCGTTTCAAGACTTTTTATATCTAACCATCAAATGCCACGTGTACATAACCAATGGTCCAGATTCTGCCGTCGTCTCACTTAGCTATGTGCCTATGTGGTCATCGTGAACTGTAACCTACATCACTCCACTTATGCCTTTGCCTATCTTTTTGTACTTATATCTTATTTTCTCATATAAAACAAAATAAACTTTAGCATAATTGATTTTTTTTAAAACAAATGTAACTGGAATTTTCTTTGAGCCTTTTTAAACAAATATAACATTGAAGTGTAATTTTTTTTTCGAGATATAGAATATAGATAGGAAATAAGAATTTAAAATTGTCACAGAACTAAAGATTTTGGAGAAAATAAAAAAAGGGTCTCGTCGTTTTCAAAGCAGTTGGAAGTCGTTTTAATGCGGGAGATGAATGGCAATGGCATCATGTGAGCTTTAGGTGAATTGTCCCCTTCATATTTTATTCGATAATAATAATAATACATTTTCTTTTCCTCTTTGGTTTTATCGTTTTGGCTTGATATCGTGAATAACGTGACATATGGTCCATTTCTCCATTTTATATAGTAGCGGGTACTACAAGTTTTGTTTTACAGACTGGAAATCCAAAACTGGTACACAAGCTTTGGATTCTATCACGTTGTTGTTATCAATAAACATAGTTCCCAATTTGAATTGTAATACCATTAGCATCGACCATTATGGGTATTAACGTTCACTAGAAATTATGAAGTTTGAACATATGACACTTCTGAAAGTAAAACAAAAAAGAAAAAAAAAAGTCATCGAAGAAAATAGAATCCAAGAATCCTTTTATTTTCTGATAACAAGAAAGTTAGATGTTGTAATATAAGGAATGTTTCGTAAAGCATTGGCATTTTTTGCTTAAGTGGCTCTCACACACACACATGACACATCGTTAATCACTTTTCTTTACTATTCTGACCAAAAAGAAACATATCCACCATGAACTCACCTAACCATGTCTTAACCACCACTCTTCAATGTATTTTCCTTGATGGGCTACTGGTCTAAAGCCTAATATTACAGGCCTTGAAAAGTAACTTAACCAAACCGCAAAATCAAAATACAATTAACCAACCCATTTCCCAATACACCCGAAACAATAAAATTGCAATAACCTTTCATTTGCATAGAACTAATCATCTCCAAACTTACATAAAGTTGTAACAAAGGTACAAAAGCCAACAAAAACAAACGACTTATAACCCCTCCAAACACCATAACATAACATCACACATATATAGCTCCAAAGGATGTATAGCATGTTATATCACTAGAGCCAGATCAGAAAATGGAATCCAAATACAAGTGGTTTCGCTTCCTACTAAACTCCAACAAGCTACCATACGTACGATCAGCCACTCCAACAAACAAGGCCTCCGTGTCAGGACTAAACGAGATTCCAGCTATCTCACCAAACATATCAATCTCCTGACACTGACTATAACCAGCTTCCGTGTCAAACACGTGTACAAAATCAGCTGGCTCAGCCATGGCTAAGAACCGTCCATCACAAGTAAACCTCAACGCTCTAATAGCTCCCATGTTTCCTTTCAACACTTTAAGCGACTTAGACAGGTTCCTAACGTCCCATAGTCTGCATGTTGTGTCTTGGTTCCCCGTGGCTAGGATCTGACCGTTTGGATGCCATGCTGATGAAAACGAGTAGTCAAGATGGCCTTGGAGAGTGTGTATGACTTTACCTGATCCAGCATCGGCTAGTAAACACTCGGGACTGTCTCCTAAGACAGCTACTAGCTTCCCGTCTGGACTCACCGTGACGTTCTAACAAAGATAATAAACACATTAATACTTTTGAAAAACAGACTCCTGAGATTTTGGGGATCTAGCGATTTCTATATAAACAAATTTTGGGGGGGGGGCCTAAAAATTATTTTTGGGGCCTAATTTTTTAGAGGCCTTATAGTCATGTAATTTTTTTAAAAGAATTTGGGAGTCTGAGGCGAATATTTCACTAGGCATATGCCGCCCTGAAAAACATTAGTATATGTAAGTAACAAAAGGTGGTTCACTTACATTTACCGACCAGTCAAATGCGAAACTGTTGAGGAAGGTGAAGTTTGTAGCGTCGAGTACACGGACGGTGCAGTCATTGTTCGCTGTTATTACCCTTAATGAGCCACTACATGTATTTAAAGACCAAAGTATTTGAGTTAGAAGGCAACTAATGTTATATGTTATGTTTAGCTTAGGTTCTTAAGTACCTTGGTGCGTTGTATATATCAACAGAGTTTGTGATGTCGTTTTCAACTGATGTTAGAACAGTACAGAATGCAACTCCAGGCTCGTTGATTCTCTGTAATATAGAAGATCACAGCGCGTGAGAATCACTCAGTGTTTAAAGCTTTAAATGTGTGTTAATATACCTTACAGATAAGTTCCCCTTGGAACCCTCCCGCAACTATCAAATCGTCTTTCACCGCCATGGTGCTTATCTGGACTCTTGATATAGACTGCGACAACATTCCTTGCTGCTTCTGAAGATTAAAGTCCCAAATTCGTTAACTTAGTTTGAAGTTTTAGGTTTATGAAGAAGTGATATTAGAAGTAAAGTTGCTTACCATCGTAGGAACAATAGGCTTTGCTACGTTAAGTACTTCTTTGCTTCTTTGAAGCAAAGATGACCAGTGCATGAGGGAGTAGTTTTTCATGAAATACACATCGTGCTTTGATGTCGCCCACAGCAAGTTTCTCAGCTGAAAAAAAAAAGTGACCATGGAGATTAGTATTCACATCGTACACATCTTAAAAGACAAGAAAAGAAGCGAACATGTAAGTTCAAATACAAAGGAAAAGAGTGACCCTTCCTAGTAATCTAATGTGAATTCCAGGGGCTAATGAGTGCATGACACAAGCAAGGTGTTAAGAGAAGTGAAACATGCAAGTTCACACACAAAACACAAGCCAAGAAGTAAACAGAACGACCCTTCTCAATAATCTAATGTGAATGTCAGGGTCTAATTAATGAGTGGATAAAACAAGTAAAAGGTGTAACACAAAATGTAAAATATGCAAGTGATATAAATAGTAGTAATCACAAGAGCATAGTGTCGTCAAAAGATGCAGATCATGATGAAGCATTTATGCAAAGTTAAAACAAACAAAAAAAATTCCCTGCAAAAAAGAGTTAGAGAGTCCTTGTAAATGTGCAAACATTTTCCTATCATACCATATTTAAATGGTTTCTTTATGGCGCCAGCTTCTCTCCAAACCTGTTTAAGAAAGGTTAAAAGCATATAGTAACTATTTCTCAAAATGCAGAGGAGGTAGTGACTAGCTTTCTTGGAGTGCTAATTTTCTGTATTAACTTACTCTGTTTTGACTAGTATGAGTGCAAATGAACTGACAATGGACACTGGGAAACGCTAATGCAATGCAAGAGAACTTAATACACACTGTGCTTATGAAAACTCTTAAGAAGTTGTTATTGTTTATAATCAGTTAGAACCTTAGACAGTATTGTAGTACCTGAGTAAACAACTAAATATCAACCTCCTAAATTATTATAAATTTTACAACAAGTTAGGAACGAAGCAGGTTAACTTAAGCACCCCTTTCAAGATTATCTGCAAAAAAAAAAAGAACTTTTTGTGAATTTAAACCCCAGCTGCATAGCTGAGGTGGAGGGACAGGGCACATAAGAAAACATGATTAAACAAAATAACAGAAGCAAAAGTTATATAGGAGTATTATCCAAAACTAAGAGTTAGGGTTTGTAGACTTGGTGAAGAAATAGTGAGCTTTTAAGCAGCATGCCATTAACTTTAATAGTTTCCTAATTACATGAATAAGAGGCCAGCTTGCATAATATTGTTTGCAGTTACAGAGTATTTTATAAATGGAAAAAAAAATGAAAAAGAACTTAGATGTGACTCCAGGTAACAAAGTATAATACCAAACATGGGCAAACATAGTTGGGAAATGTTGTCTTGTCTACCTGAAAATGTGCAATAGTGGACTTGACAAGCCTCGTGTTGAACTGAAAGTCATAAAACTGCTTCCCTTTCTCTACTTGCAAGCATTCCTATGATCAACAACAAAACCAAAACTCATTAACCAGATGAAACTAACAAAAAAAAAAACTAAGTTTTAGATTACAAACCTTGTGAAGATCTTCTCTGGACCTAAAGAGACTCTCAAAGTTCTTATACTGTTGCAATCTCTTGTGACGGTATTGATCTCTACTGTAATTAAGCTTCTCCCAAGGGATGCCTTGGATGTCTTTCCCGTTCCTAGCTTCTAACGCTGACGTATCAGTCTTTGACTCACTCTCCTGAGTCTAAAAATTAATTTTTTACTAATATAAGGTTTGTTGATAATTAAGTAATTAACACTCTCCTAAACTAGAACCAGCTTTTGATCATACCGGGTCAAGATCATCCTCGAAATCAGACTCAGCTTCACTCTTGTGATCAAACTCTCCAAAGGTTTCATCGTCTTCGGAATCAGAGAAGCCGTGAAAGTCATCAACGAGGTATTCAAGGTCAGAGTTGTCAAAGATATTCATCTTCTTTAAAAAAACCTGGTGGAACCATATCAAGAACAGGTCAAGAAACATCATAACACACAAAAGCTTCTCAAGAGTTCAAAGAAACTAACCGTGTGATAAAGATTGTGGAGATGGAGGAAGAGGTGAACAATGAAAAGCTTTGTGTGTGGTTAAGACTTAAGAGAAGAAACGGTGGGAAGCTGGTGGTGTACTTTATAACGGTGGAGAAACAAGAGAGTTTGTGTGGGTCCCTTAGTTAGATTGTGGGAACGGTTTGAGCCGGTAAACCAACTTGGCGGAGAAGGTTTGAATCCGCAAGCTTTTTGAGTTTGAAGTTCTGAAGTCTTTGGGACCTACGTGTTTAACCGGTACAATCGTTAGATGGTCAAATGGAAAAACGTTAACTCTTTCAAAATTAAAATAAATATAAATTGTGTATGTATGCATATGCGACAAAATAGGGAAACAAAATATCCTTTCTTCCATAGTTTTTAGACTTTGAAATCTTGATTTATTGATGTAGATATATTGGGATCTTATTTATATAATTTGTCGTTTGATATTTAATTAGAAAATCTAATCAATAAAAACAAAATATTTTACAATATATGTTTAATATATACACAATACATAGAAATGTACAACTTTTAGTAAATAAGAAAATATTTAAATGGGACAGCGAAAGAGAAAGTATTTAATTACTTTTATGACTTACGACATAAACTATCAGAAATTTATTTTCAGACAAAGAATGAGACAACGGGCCAAGCGGTAGACAATTTTAGTAAATTAAAAGATTAGTAACAACAGACACTCGATGACATATTCAAACCTTGTAATAAAAATATGTTTGTTGTTAGTGTCCTCCCTCTTTAGTACGTGGCCATAGGTTTCTACCGACATCTCAGAATCACTAATTTAATGACCAATTTTGTCACCGGTCAATTTAGTCATCACCAGTCATGACGACACGAAGACAGATACGTTTACACAGTCATCACTCTTCAACCAGACGTCCCACGTGTTGGACAATAAGGCCTCAGCTTCATTCACGGGGCCTTAACTTAGTACCAATGGGGTTGATTTTAGCTGCGAGTATTAATTTCTACGAAGCTCTTAACACGAAATTACATATCCACTAAACATTATATTATCTGTTTGAAACCGACATTTTTTATCCAGTCAAATCCAATTACGTGACCAAATAAAATTTGATAGATCGCAGTTAGATTTATTGTGATTAGGACATCGCGATAAGTGGCTTCAAATGGCAAGTTGCCAAGTGATTAAGGTGATAAGATATGTATTGTTTATCCATTTCAACTTTTATGTGATTGGTTGGACGGTTAAATTCGTTTACTTTTCCTAACAAATCATCTATCTCTTGTGTCCTAAGATAACCAAAATGTTCTAATGGGCCTGATAAAACGGCCTACATCAAAGAACAAAAGCAACAGTCTTATCGGGCTTAAGACCGTAACTAGAGAGTTAGTGTAATAATAATATAAGTATTTTACGTCCGAATTTTAAGGGTATGTACGTCAACTAAAAAGATAACAATAATAAGTAGATACTCTGTCACACTCATCAGTCTCTTCTCAATCAGTTTCACTCATATCTTCTTTCCCGCATTTCGAAGCTAAAAATGATTCTTCTACTTCTCACTCTCGTCTTCCTTCACGGCGTTGACCTAGCTCCTACTCCGCCGCACGCTTGCGACGCGTCGAATCCCACCACGAAGCTCTTTCAGTTCTGCCGCACCGACCTCCCAGTTAACCGGCGAGCTCGAGATATCGTATCACGGCTAACCATAGACGAGAAGATCTCTCAGCTTGTAAACTCAGCTCCAGGGATACCTCGTCTTGGAGTGCCGGCGTACCAATGGTGGTCGGAGGCTTTACACGGCGTAGCCGACGTCGGTCCCACTCCCGGAATCCGGTTTAACGGAACGGTTAAAGCTGCCACTAGCTTTCCTCAAGTCATCCTATCCGCAGCTTCCTTTGACTCTTATCTGTGGTTCCGCATTGCTCAAGTACGATTACTCTTTCTCTTTACCACTTATAAAAGTATTTTATTAATTAAATTTATTGAACTATTTCTGACAGAAAATAACTTTAGTTCACCTTTTACTATGTCTGAAAAGCCGAAAAGGAAGTAACTGTCTTTGGATTTTTTTTGTGTATTAATTTAGGAAGTAGAATTTGTTTTGTCTTAACATTTTACCAAAAAAGATAAGAAGTAGAATTTTTTTGGTGGTATGTTGCTATCCTAGACATTAATTTCTATTATTATTAGTATAAATTAGAAGAAATATAAAATAAAAAAACCTTTAAATTAAAAATTTGATTTAGAACTCTAAGACCTTGGAGATTGTCTTAGACATTAATTTCTATTATTATTAGTATAAATTAGAAGAAATGTAAAAGAAGAAAGTCTTTGGATATTTGGGAGTTGTAGGTAGTAGGAAAGGAAGCGAGAGGACTGTACAACGCAGGGCAAGCCAAAGGGATGACGTTTTGGGCACCAAACATTAACATATTTAGGGATCCACGGTGGGGAAGAGGTCAAGAGACTCCTGGCGAGGATCCGACGGTGACGGGAGCTTACGCGGTGGCTTACGTCAGAGGACTCCAAGGTGATTCTTTCGACGGTAAGAAAACACTCTCCGGTCACCTTCAAGCCTCCGCTTGTTGTAAGCATTTCACGGCTTATGATCTTGACCGTTGGAAAGGTATCACTCGCTACGTTTTCAATGCTCAGGTATTATATTATTTTCTTTCTCTATAGTCACTTTTGACTCTTCTTTTTCGTTTAGATTTAGTCATTTAATAATACATAATTAATATAATCAAACGAATAAAAAGTTTGTCTTCCTTTCTAAAGTGGGCATTAAAGTAAAATCTTTACATAATGATGTTTTCAAATGGCATCAAAGAGATATTATCCCTTGATTACACTCTTTACGTCTTATCATGAATATGGTGCTATCTTTATGTCCTGTCATGAATATGAATTTGTACTAAGATAATCATCATTTAATCACATGTTGAAATTCTGACGTGGAGACTGGTGGGAAATTGAGTCAAATTTTGCTAGGAATTACAAAACAATTAAATTATTCTCATATACACCAAATGCACCTATTTTATTCAGAAAAAAATCCAATTCATTAATTTGAAAGAAGCTTTGGTTTAGTCTTGTTACAAAATTGTAAATATTTTTAATGTAAAAGGCATAACCTAAACAATATTTCGAGGTTGGATAGGTCTAAACATCACGATCCTCACTTTTTAAAATGTTAAATAAGTTTTTTATTTTTCATGTTAATTTCTTTATTATTCAGTAATAAAAGGATCTGATTTGACTAATATAAAAAGGTGAGTTTGGCTGACCTGGCGGAGACGTACCAACCACCGTTCAAGAAATGCATAGAAGAAGGCAAAGCCAGTGGCATCATGTGCGCTTATAACCGAGTCAACGGCATTCCCTCTTGCGCTGACCCAAACCTCTTGACTCGAACAGCTCGTGGTCTCTGGCACTTCAACGGGTTCGTGTCTCTTCTTCATCTTCTCTAACACTCTAAAGCCACATTGATCGTAACATGTTACCAATCTCTATACGTTCAGATACATAACTTCCGACTGTGACGCAGTCTCAATCATCTACGACGACCAAGGCTACGCAAAGACCCCTGAAGACGCAGTCGCTGACGTCCTCAAAGCCGGCATGGACGTAAACTGTGGCTCATACTTACAGAAACACACCAAATCAGCTCTACAACAAAAGAAAGTGTCGGAAACAGACATCAACAGAGCTTTAATCAACTTATTCTCCGTTAGGATCCGTCTCGGTCTATTTAACGGCGATCCAACCAAACTAACTTACGGAAACATAACTCCTAACGACGTTTGTTCTCCGTCTCATCAAGCGTTAGCACTCGAAGCAGCTCGTAACGGTATCGTCCTCTTGAAAAACGCTTTAAAACTCCTCCCTCTCTCCAAACGCAGCGTTTCGTTAGCTGTGATTGGTCCAAACGCTCACGTGGCGAAAACGCTTCTTGGCAACTACGCTGGCCCGCCATGCAAGAACGTGACGCCTCTAGACGCGATACGCGGTTACGTTAAAAACGCGGTTTACCATAAAGGATGCGACTCCGTGGCTTGTTCTAACGCTGCGGTTGAACAAGCGGTTGCTATTGCGAGAAACGCTGAACGTGTGGTATTGATTATGGGACTAGACCAGACTCAAGAGAAGGAAGATATGGACCGTGTTGACCTTAGTCTTCCAGGGAAGCAACGTGAGCTTATAACAAGCGTTGCGGAAGTTGCAAAGAGACCAGTGGTTCTTGTCTTGATTTGTGGCGGTCCTGTTGATATCTCATTTGCTAAGGATAATGACAAGATTGGTAGCATTGTTTGGGCTGGTTATCCTGGTGAAGCTGGAGGGAAGGCTCTTGCTGAAATCTTGTTCGGAGATCACAATCCTGGTGAGTTATCCACTGAATTTTATTCCTTAGCACTTTTAACTTTCAATGTAACAATTATAACATATAAAACCTCAACTTTATTAAGCATACTTCTAAAAAATCGGTTTAAGCGGCAACTCGATTTTATCCAAAATGATTTTTTAAAATTCGATTCATACAATTCAAATCGGTTTGAACTTTTCTAAATGTGTCAAAATCGTTCTAAATTAGTCTAAATCTGTTAATATTAATATGAACCCACAAATTTGTTTTCTTTCTTTTGATTTATAATCTAATTTTGATAACTCATCACAATAATTATATAACTAAAACCAAAAACTAAATGTTTTTTATATATATATATATATATAAATAATTTGGTAATGTCTAGGCCTCGTTTAAGCCAGAATAATCCGTCTAGTCGCTAGTCTTCAATAAAACGCCTACTTATCACAGTGATTTCTTGAACATTTTTGTGAAAAAAATCTAAGATTTAAAGCGTGTGTAATTATTTTTTTGAAGATCTAAAATGCAATTTTCACAGTTTTTATTTTTCTACATGTAATAAAGAAGGTTTGATTGTGTTTCTTACTAGATTTCGATTTTTTTACGTGTTTGTAGGAGGGAGATTACCAGTGACCTGGTATCCACAGAACTTTGTGAATGTGAAGATGACAGACATGAGGATGAGATCATCATCATCTGGATATCCAGGGAGGACTTACAGATTCTACAAAGGACCTAAAGTGTTTGAGTTTGGACATGGTCTTAGCTACACAACTTACTCTTACCGTTTCAAGACTCTACCTCAAAACACTCTCTACTTGAACCAGTCCAAACCTCAAACCAACTCAGACTCTCTTCAGTACGCTCTGGTTTCGGAAATGGGAAAAGAAAGCTGCGATGTAGCCAAGACTAAGGTGAGTGTTGTGGTTGAGAATCAAGGAGAGATGGCTGGGAAACATCCTGTGCTTATGTTTGTGAGGCACGAGAAGGGAGGAGAAGATGGGACACGAGCTGAGAAACAGCTTGTTGGGTTTAAGAGCGTTGTGTTAAGAAACGGAGAGAAAAGTGAAGTTGAGTTTGAGATTGGTGTTTGTGAGCATTTGAGCAGAGCTAATGAAGTTGGTGTTATGGTTGTTGAAGAAGGAAAATACTTCTTAACCGTTGGAGATTCAGAGCTCCCTCTTACAGTTAATGTCTGAATCTAAAAAAAAATATAATGTAAGAAACTTTCTCTTGGATTGGCTTCTGGGTGATTGAAAAATAACATGTAATGAAACGTGATTTGTGTATCTAATACATATCTTAAAAACTGTTCTTGATAAAGTGAAAGACAAAACAAAAGAACACACTAGTTAAGGCTCTCATCAAGCTTCTGTCTGTATTGTGCCAATCTCTGAAACAAAGAAGCATTACATCAGCAAACTCATAACCATGGTGACAAACAATTGGTTTGGTTTGGTTTTACCTTAGTATAAGCATAGACACCAGCTTCTGTAGGACCAACAGGGCTTCCTCGTCTCATGAACTTCCTATCTTTGAAGATGTAGAGTAACGGTAAACCAGTAGATAGCTCTAAACTCGTAACCTTCAAGAACCAAACCAAACATTAAGCTGTTACCAAAACCAATAAAGAAGACACATTCTGTTTTTTTTTGTTTTGTTACCTCTTGAGAAGTTAACTTGTCAAGATACATAATGATAGACCTCAAAGAGTTCCCATGAGCAGCAATCAACACATTGTTCCCTAACGCAAGCTCTGGTTGAATCTGCACAAACAATTACATAAGCAACAAAAAAAAACAAAAAAAACAAAAAAAACGAAAATGAGTCTTTTTAGAGTCATTACATTGTCTTCAAAGTAAGCCACAGCTCTCTCAGCACACATCTCAAGACTCTCTCCTTTAGGAGGAGGAATGTGATAACTCCTACGCCACTCATGAACTTGCTGCGTTCCATATCTCTCCGCTGTTTCCTCCTTGTTTAAACCCTGTAACTCTCCATACCTAACTCAACACCAAAACATGTCAGAAACTTCACATAAAAAAATAACACAAAGAGAAGTTGTTGTCTGTTTATTACATTCTCTCATTGAGTTGCCAAGCAGCAATAACAGGGATAGATTGTTTCCTAGTCTCTTCACTGAAAACATGACTCCAAGTCTGCGCCTTCTCACTCTCATCATGCAAAATGATTGGAACCTTCTTGCAGCGGTGCTGAGTCATGGCGAGCATAGCAGTCATCTGAGCACGGATAAGAGAAGAAGTGAAGATCAAATCAACAGGAATGGTGCTAATCCTCTTCCCAGCTTGGATAGCTTCAGCAACACCTTTCTCAGTCAATGGAACATCAACACAGCCAGTGAAGAGATTCTTCTCGTTCCATAACGACTCTCCATGCCTAATCAATATCAGTGATGCCTCATCTGAATTAAAAAAAAAGTTGATTCAGTGTTGCTCTTTAATAGTATATGAGGGGGAAGCAAGCATTAGTTTTACTTGTTTTTTTCTTGTAAGGGGTGGAAGGAGACAAGAGAGTGTCGAGAACAGGAGTTTGAGATGCAGTTGTTGCTTCGATCTTGAAACGGTTTTGTCTGAATTTGATGGGGAGGTAGAGAGACTCCTTTGGAAAGAGAGAAGCTTTGGAATTGGAAGGTCTATGAATAGAACCGATCAATTGGTGAGACACAACCGTAGCCATTTCCTATGTAATAATGATAAATCAAAAAACTCAAAATCAAGTTATAGAATAAAGCTAAGTGACTGATGAACTAAAGATCTCAACTTTGAATAGTACTAAATTAGAGAACTAAATCCCTAAATGCACTCCCTAAAACGCAAATCACACAACATAATAGAGTTTAGCATAAATAAAATTTTTATTGGGTATTAAGAGCTGAGATACAGAGACATACCTGTGTAATGACGATGAAACCGAGGAAGGAGAAAGAGCAATAGACACAGAAATGAAATTACTACTCAGACTACACTTTGAAGCTTTATATATGGATCTTTTGATAGAAAATGGAAATAAAAATCTTGTTTTTTTTTTAACTTTCGTTTTGGCCTCTTTGCGTGAAAGAAACAGAAAGGAGACAAGTTTTAATAGGGGGATTGGGGAACACGACGCGAGGGTTGTTGAAGGGTGCAAAGCAATTACAACCAATTAAAAAAATATATGAAAATCGTCTACTTATGTTTAGAGAGTTTATTT